ATTCAACTGAAATTGTTGTTTCTATGAGCGTTTGAGTTTAGCTTACCTTAAGTTAAGTAGCTGAGCTCCAATCTCAGGCATTTTGTTAATAAATCCCACCTTCGTCCTATTTTTGCTTTCATTCACGCAGTTTATTTTGAAGGTGGCAGTCTCTTTAAGAGTTTAGGCGCTTACCAACGAGCCATTAGGGCTTCAAGTGTAGCTCAATAGTTAAGGAAATCCTATCTCACTCATTTTTTTAATTAACTAACTGTCGGCAAAATCATTTGGGCTTTTGAAGTACAAAACATTGTTAATGCCAAAATATTCGGACCAAAAATGCAATAGAGAGACATTTACACAGCCAACTTTGAATCATCATCACAGAACAAATGACATAGGACTTAATGAGCTTACACCGATTTCCTATCTGTTGGAAATGTGGAATGTGGATATGTCAAAATGAACTTTCAAAGGTTTGTACTATTCTAGTACGTACACAACAGGGGCATTTTTTACTAGTGCTTTCATCCGTGTGAGATATGGCTGTTACAGTGCAGGTTGAGGTACAAAACCAAGTTGGCTAAATTTGCTAATGCCTTCCCCGATCTTCTTTAAGCTTTCTGAATTATCAACCCTAGTACGTTCCATCTTTCGATAAAATAACAAGTATGGCTGATGCAATTTGTGGAATGTGGTAGTTGTCGGATGAAGGTCATCTTTTATCCTAGTTGGACTGAATGGTGGTCAGGAATTGAATGAATTTCTTTGTTGGTAACCGACTAAGTAACCACCCGAAGATCAAAATCGACCTCAACACGGATTTTTAGGAAAAATAGCTTTGTGGGGTTAGGCGACGCAGAGTGACAGTAATGCGTGTGCTTAATGGAAGGAGCCGCTGTCTAGGAATGCCTTCAGAGGTATCCCATTTAGGTCACCATAATGAAGCCACCAGACACACAAACAATCATCATCGCTTCTGGTTTATGGCAGCCGTCCACCAGAAAACAGACAATTTCACATGCACTGTCTGAGATGCGCAAGCACATGCATGGACACGTGCTCCCATGCACAACGGAGCCGAAACGGGGCAATAGCGGCGACTTCAAACAGCCTCTTCCGTTGGAAATCAGTTCAGGTGGTCGCCTGTGTGCACAATCGGCGCTAGAAATAACAGGACCATGCGCTTGATCGACCGCGAAAATACAACGACGTTGAAGGCTTCCCTTTTCTCATGCTTAGTGATGTAATTCCATGAACCCGTTGTATCTCAAGTTCACAGCATCACCAGCTAAACCGCACTAGTGGCGCAAAGCTTGAAGTAATTTAGAGTGTTGTATTCAATTATGGCTTTCCTATTTATGCGCATTGAACTGAACAAGACATGGCAACTTCTTCCTCAAGCACACAAGATTCTTGGCACGTTGGTGGGAGAACGCTACGCTCCAGTGACACCAGCAGGAACGCCTATTTATAAGCATAAGTGGAGGTTGTGTAAGTAATGAATCGACCACTGGCGATCACATAAGCTGTAGCAACAATTAGATCCCTTGCTCTTCCTTTTTTTTAAAACCAAAATCAAGTTGCGGCTGCTCCCACAATCAATGGCGGCTTTGTGGAAGTGGCGCATGATATGACTTATGTATTATTTGGTTAAACACGAGGAAGCAATTCGAAACCTTGATCAAAAATCAACCCCAAGTGAATGAAGACCAAAAATGTCCTAGAGCAGCACCCTCCAATAAAGTTTTAATTAGTGAAAATGGACCGTGGACTATTAAACTCCTCAGATCCTTCCCTCAGTTAAATTTCAAATTTCAAAGTGAGAGATAAATTCCCTAGTACACGTAAATACCTCGGCCAATATTATGTAGTTATCTGGTGAACTAAGAGATTAATATAAAATGGATCAATTCCTACTAAGTAAAGTCGTTAAAGCCCAGGCTATTTTTTCAGCTGAAGACTAGAGATTTTGCATGCTTCACTCTATAAAAATGATGTTAGGCATTTTTAACGCTACCAATTACAAAAGGAAGACTAAGTCAGTGTCACAAGCCATCTAGTTAACCTGGTAGGGATAATCCAATCCCGTAGGATTGGTTTTGCAACAAGTAATTTAAATTATCTATTGTAATGGACTAAGAGGTCTCCTTTAACGGACGACCACTCACCAAACTTTCATTAAAATCTGAACCGATTTCTCCCAATATCTCATTCAAAACAGCTTGTCATGACGATCAGCAGTCTTGCCGTTTGCAGATTTCGTACAATAAAGGTCGTCAGTGCGTCGTGGCCTGGCAAAAACACATTCACTCACTTTCCCTTCAAACTATTACCTGGCCTCAACGTTATCTATCCGAAGTTGCCAGCGTCTAATAAGAAGCATCTGATTTACGGTTATTGAGTATTTCTTTAAAATATAATAATAGTAGGAATA